TAATAACTGCGTCGGTTTTATACTTGCTTGTTACGACGGTTACGAAGGGCGTCGCGTAAGCTAGTTAGTATAGTCTAAACCGCCTTTAGCTGCGGCTAAGGCGCGACGGTCTTTATAGTCTTATTATCGGATAGCGAGGTATTAACTGCGTCCGCTATAGTAGCAGCGCGGTCTAACTAATCGATAGGGATATTAGGGAAGTCGGCACCTAGCAATAGTAGCGTATCGGCGTCGCGTATAGCACCGTATAGCTTAAAGTAGTCGGCTATCTATACGTTAAGCTTCGCGATCTTATCCTTAGTAGCATTGCCTTATACGCCGCCGAGTAGCTTAAAAGCGTCCTCGTTAATTAGGTATAGTATAGGGATTGCCTATTGCGGCGCGATACGTAAGAAATCGTAGTAAAGATAGGTTAGCGATAGCGTTAGCGACTCCTTTAAGACTATAGCGGAAAGACGATACTACTAGGCTATCTAGCGCTTAGTTGCTTCGCGGATCTGTACCTTAGCTAGCATCTATTAAAGCTAGTAGACCTCGGTTGCTACTAACTCGGACTAGCGTATATAGTAGAGAGCTTATAAGTTAAGCGTACGTATACTAAATACCGTCGCATTATATTAGTATTGTCTATAGGCGCCTATAGTATTTTCCTATAGGGCGGGCAAAGGTAGTAAGCGTATTAGAAGCGATAGGAGCTTGTACTATAGCTACGCAACCGTATTGTTAGGTAGTAGTAGCTAAGCTATAACTAGAGCCTTCGTAGGCGTAGAGAATAGGTTAGACGGTAGCGGCATCTTCGACGGTAGGCGAGGCGCTAAAAACAGGCTAGCAGTTAGCTTCTAGCGAGTGTTTAACTTAGTCGATAGTAATACGCGCGAGGAGTTTAGCTAGATCGCCTTAGTTAGCGGGGCAACGGCCGGAGGTTACGGCTTAGCCCGAGTCGCGAGCTTAGGAGGGAAGATTTTACTAAAGAGGCGCGCGTTAGTAAGGTCGGTCTCGTCTAGCGAGTAGTCGGATAACGGCACTAGGAATACGCCTATAGGATCCTAAGTATAGTCGATATTGTACTACTAGTAATTCTTATTTGTTACTATCTTATTATACTTAAAAATAGTATTGCCCTATATAATACGCTCCTAGACGCCTAAAGGATCGAAGACTAGATCGGTAGAGACCGTCTTCGGCAAATTATAGAACTGTAGCGTTAGCGCGGGCTCTAATCTATTAGGGGTAGCGCCGTCCTTAGGTATCTAGATATAGGCGAGAAAGGTAGATAAGGCGTATACCGGATCGATCTAAGTTAGCTAGCAGACTAGGCTAAACTCTACTAAGCATTAACGGTTAAGGAGTAGTAGAGGTATGCCTTTACCCTTATTAGCGGCATAGGTACCGTTCTAGTAGCGACCGCTACCTATAAGCTAAGCGTACTATTCCGTACGCGACGTATTAGTAGCCTTCGTATCCGCAAGCGCCTTATTAGTATAGAGGGCGGATATATAGCCCTTACCGCGAAGCGTATAGGCGTTACGGACTGTAATATACCGCTAGGTATAAGCGACGACGTCCTAGGTAATAGCTAGGCGACCTAGGTTGCGACGGTATAGGTAGGGCAGACTACTAGAATTTAGGGACGACTCGTACTACTTATAGAGCTATATAGCCGACTAGGCACTAAGTTCTATACCGATTAGTAGTAGCTAAACTGTATAGTCCTTAAGCTAGGAGTCTAGTAGAGGCAGGCGCACTATCGAGAGTCGTCCGGTAGCTACTATCTATAAGAATTAGACTTCGCCGTAGGTAGTTAGGTCGATCTTATAATGCTTCGTTACTCCGACGTATTCGCTAATAGGTCGCTTGCCCGTCTTCTAGTATTCCTTACCGTAGTTACGGTAGGATACGTCCTTACTATTCTCGCTACGCTTATATAGGACCGGGTAACCGCCTACTATAATACTATCGCGATATTCTTTTAGGACGAAGCGGTAGAACTACTCTTATACGAGGTCGACTATCTATAGGAAGTATAAGATAGCGCGTACTATAAGACCGACGGCTTTATTGCGGATTAGAGATAGTACTAGCTAGAATCGTAAGTCGCCGGTATAGGTACTTAAGCTAAGGAAGTTCTCGCGTAAGTAGGTAATATTTGCTAGGAGTCGGTGCTACAACTTCGCGTAGTAGAAAGTAATAGTTAGTAGAAAATTCGTATCGAGGTTAGCTAGGTTAGGAAGCTCCTTTAATTCGCCCGCCGTTATAAGCGCTACGTACTCGCTAAAGCGTATCGCGTAAATCTCCTACTACGTATCGTAACCGTCCGAGTAGAGGTCGGTCCTAAAGATAGAGTATTTACGGGCGAGATCGTTGTTTACGATTTAGAAGAAGTACGGTTACGTAAAGAGTAGGTTTTTTAAATCGGTAACTAGCTTACCTATATACTAATACAATTCGCGTAGGATCTAGAAGCGCCGATCGCTAGCTATAAGGTATAGATAATATAGGTAATACTAAAGCCTTACTAAATAGTATTCGACTATTCGCTTATATAGGCGTAGGCGAAAAAGCTTAGGTAGCCGACCGTTAGCGTCCTTAGCGTACGCGTTACGTACGAGCTTCGCGGCCTAGATAAAGCGTACGTCTCTATTCTTATTACGCTCTATAGGATTAGCGGCGATTAGCGTATCGACTTTCTTATTATAGTCCTCGTACTCTACGTACTACCGAATTGCAGCTTATTCGGGCGTCTCGTTAGCGCGAAGGAGACGCTTATTAATTAAAGTCTAGCGCGCGCGCTAACCTCGAAGCCGCTACTACTCGAACTTAAGTTCTTTAGGGGATAGGACCGGAGGTTCCTTAAAAACCGACTCGATCGGAGTAGCTAGGAGCTTAGGAGGAGCTAGTACGGGCGCTTATAGCGAGCCGTTACTCGGCGCCTACGTTAGGGAGGCGGGTGCCTATAGTAGCGGTAAATTAGGAAGTATATACGCTAGCGGAGATAGTAATTCTAGTAAAGCCGGTCGATTTGCGGGTATTATTAACGGTAGTACCGATTCTAAAGCCGAAGGCGCATTAAGAGGCTGCGCGCTAATAGGATTAATCGGGCCGCTTTCCGAACCGTTAACTAGGCTACTAGACGCGTAGGTAGCAGCGTCTCGGTAAAGGGCAAAGAAGCCCGGTACGATGTCCTATAGCTTCTCGGCCTCTAGAATCTCGACCTATAACGCTTTGCCCTTCTAAACAAACTCCTATTTACCTAAATAGTACGGCGGAGGGTCGTCCTTATCGATAAAGTAGTTAGCTATAGCCTTATAGAGCGCTCGGCCCGTCTATTAGCTCTCGCCTAGTAACGCCTTCGCTAGCTCCGTTAACTATTTCTTCTTCGTAGTAAGCGCCGTAACCGCCTATATAAACGACTTCCTATCGAAAACGTAATCTAGATTAACCGCCGCGATAACCGCCGGTACGCAATATTTTAGAAAAAAAAACCGTCTAATATTAGAGAGCAGACAGTCTAGATTCGGAAGCACTATCGATAGGCTAGTAATAGTCTAACGCTATATAGTACTAAACTCGCTATCCGGCGTTCCCTACGATTACGGGCGAGCTATTACCTCGAGTAATTCTAAATCGGATTCGTTTATATAATTAGCCGGGGGCAACAGTGCTAAGCTCGCTATTAGCGTATCGTTAATACGACTACGGCCTAAGAATAACGGTACGTATCGCTATAATAGTTATCGACTAGAGTCCGTTAATACGTAGTATAGTTCTATATCTAATCCGTCCTCGGTAAACATTAGGAAAGGCCGTATATGTCTATTCTTAGTAGCGTAGCTTAACACTACCTAAACCTCGCCGGTGCTTAAACTGCCGTTAGTAGAAATAAGCGATAGCGCCTTATAAAAGGTCTATCGAAGATTGCCCTCCGCTATAGCGAGGATCGTAAAGCCCTCTAGCGTCTACGCTAGGTTAGTACCGTATTCCTCTAAACGCGTTTATTACGGGTTAAGCGTAGCGTTATCTATCTCTCTATAATACTCGCCGATCTAATCCGCTATTGCGTCTTCTCTACCTACCGAATCCTTTACCGGGCCCTCTAAATTCTCTAGCTTAGGCGTAGCCGTACGTTCCTCGACCGTAGTATTAAGCGTTATATCCTTCTTGTTTGTTATATACTTAAGCTTAGACGCGAGCGTAGGAACCTTAATCGAAGGGTCTAAGGCTATATCCTCTCTACTCGTTACGTCCTTAGGCTCCGGCGCGGCTATATAATTCTCGACTGTTTCGTCTAATACTATATCTTCTTTGTCTGTTATATTATCTGCCTCTAGCGCGGCCTTACGACTTTCGACCGTAGTATCTAATACGATAACCCCCTTGTTAGTTATATTATCTAGCTTAGGCGCGGCCGTATAATTCTCGACCGTAGTATCTAATACTATATCCTTATTGCTTGCCCTACTCTCTAGCTTAGGCGTAGGCGTTAAGCTAGTAATAAATAAGGACTATCCGGCCGATCCTAGACCGTCTAATAGTAGCGGTTTCCCGCGAGGAGCGTTAACCTTACTATTCCCTATTATAGTGTCCTAGGGTTCTCGATCCTCGCTTCTACGATATTCCTTAGCTATCGCTTCTTAGAGGAGGTCGAACGTGTCGGCCTTATAGTATAGGCGAGACGCGCGCTATAAATCCTCCTCGAATAATATAACGTTTAGGCGCTTGTATCGCGATTAGTACTATAGAAATTTTTACTAAAAAGCTACTACTTTACGTTCCTCGCGACGGACGCAGTTATCGCGCTTAAGGGCCGTTTCTATTCGTCGTCGGTAATTAATAGAAAGCTCTCTTATCGTAGGATGCCGGAAAGATCGATACTAAATAAGGGATAGCCCGCGTCTACGTATAACGGTTGCCTAAGTAACGTAGTTACGATAACGATATAAGAGTACGCCTAGGCGGATTACGACTCCGAAGAAGGAGTCGCACCGTAGAGTCGTATCGATTTACGACGAACTGCGAGGGATTGTCCGGCCTCGCCTTTATCGGCGGAGCTAGTAACCTCTAAAAAGGCTAGCGCGCTCTTATCCGCTTTACTACCCTACAGAGGGTACGGGATAGTAGGGCCTCCTCTAGAGGGTAGGCGTTATTGTAGATTTTACGTAGATCGTTTGCGCCTATTAAGTCGTCGATATTATACTATATATTATAGGCGCTCCTATACCCCTTCTACTTTACTAGGTATTAGAGAATAGGCTAGCCCCTCCGGACGACGGTCCTTCGCTCTAGAAAGCGCTCGATTTCGTAAGAATCGCCCTTATTACTAGAACCTAGACCGTCCTTAGCTATAATAGGCGGGGGCTCGTAATTAACTGTTCTCTTAAAAGGATCTAGGTCTTTAGGAGCTTTTTCTAACTGCGAAACCGATATTACCGGATAGATACGTATTAATAGCAGTAACTCGAGACGGTAGGCTAGCCGTCCGACTTTCTCGAGAACCGTAAAAGGCCCTTTAAAACGGTAGCTAAACTTATACGACTAACCGGGTACTTCGTAACTACGGTATAGGCGAAGTATAATACAGTTACCTAGCTTAAGGAATAGGGGCTTATACTTGCTATTATACCGTTCTTTTATTTTTACGTTCGCCTAAGCAATCGCGTCCTAGACTTCCTTCTAGATACGACTACGCGCTACTGCCCTATTATACGGATAGTCGTATAGTATATCGAGCGAGTCGAGATTCGTCCTTACGCCTATAGCAACCTCGTTTAGCGACTAACCGGTAGTCGTATTACGGGAGTTATTAAGCGTAGCCTATAGCTATAGGATAAACGTCGTCTAATCCTCGCTAGGATAATCCGCTAACTAGTAACGAATTGCAGTCTCGACCGTTTAGTTAGTTCGCTCGGATTAACTATCGGTTTAAGGGTAGTAGGCCGTAGACGTAGCTAGCTTCGTACGCAAGCGCGAGAAAACGCCCTTAAAGAAGTCGCTTAGCTAGCAAGGATTACGATTAGCGATAAGTACTACTAGTATACTTATATCTATTAAATAAAGCCTATCGATTAGAGCGATACCCTAGTCGTAGGCCTTCTAGTCCTCTTTGCCTAAGACAACTGCTACCTGCTTAGACGTCTTATAAGTAATCGTATATAGTATATTAAATCTATCGGTTATAACCGGCAAGGCGGTTACGAGATCTATCGCTATAGTATAGTACAGGCCCTCCGTATTCTAGATCGGGTAAAGTTCGCCGTAAGGAGCGTATCGGGGGGTACGTAAAAGGAGACACTAGTAATAATAATCTAAATAGAGGCGAAGGTAGCGAGCGAGTCGATATATAAAGAAGGAAGCTTAAATGCGGTCGAAGACGCGCTAAAAGCCTTAGTAGTAACGGTTATCGTAAGCCTACTCGAAGATCTCGCCTATTAAGGCCTAAGGGATATAGAGTCGCTCGCGCCCTAAAGATTAGTTACGGAAATACAAGAGGCCGTCCCTCTCGAAGAATCGAATCCCTAGCGGACTATTAAACTTATTACCTACGAATAGGTCCGGATTTTTGCTACCCTTATAGCGAACTAGCGTTTTCGTTACCGAAGGTATATTAGCTCCCTCTAAATAGAGACGCTCTAAAGCATTCCGCGCCTACGCTTATCGAACTAGTCGTAAAACCCTAGACTAATGTTCGTCGTTATCGTACGTACGGTTTAACCGACGTCGGAAATCCGGATCTAGCTCTACTAACATCGTATAGAAGTAGGCTACTTCCTCTAGATCGGCCGAAGAGGGCGTAACGTCGGTATAGTAAGAGAGTAGGTCTAAGTTCTCCTCGTCTAGCGTTAACTTAGGCGACTCTATGTCCCCTAAAAGTCGACTAAGGGCGTCTAGAACTAGGTATATCCGCCCTAGGCGGTAAACTATATTAACTCGATATTAGGAAAGGAACATCGATACCCTTACTAACTTTAGGTTCTATTTACCTATATCGGTAGTCGTAGTTATCGATACCGAGTTAGTAAGACCGACCGCGGTATAGTAGTCTATAAAGATAGTCGTCGACCTCGATAAAGCATATATTAAATAGCCTACCTTTTTTACTATATATACGATTCCCGAGTATTCGAGCTCTATTAGCTAATATCGTATCTCCGCCTAAGTTAGGCCTCGGCTTAAGAACAGAATAGGCTAAACCTTATAGTAAGGAAATAACTGCGCCTTTCCCTTAGACAGAATCGGGTCTAGATCCCTATCGATATAGTAGAGTACCGCGCTATAGCTAAACTCTTTTAAGGAATCTATATTAGCGTATAAGCGACGATTAGGGTCGAAATAGTATAGGAAGGAGGGCTCGTAGAATATAGATTGTAATAAGCGAAACGCTTTTACTAGCTCGTCGCGGTACTAATCGTTCTTACCTAGCGTCGTAATAGCAACGTGCCGGCGACGACTATTGCCGGTAACTAGCGCCCCTTTTAATAAGCGTATCTTCTCCGCCTATAAAGGCGCCGCTATCTACGCGTAGTATAGGATGTATTGCCGCAACTAGTTAGTTAGACCGAGATAATGCTCTAGTTTCTATACGTTTTCCGGGAACTAAAGCGAGGTAATCGCTACGATCTTCTCTTTACTCGTAGCTAAACCGAGGCCGCTAACGTACTAACCTAAAAGAGTCGCGGAGGGGAAGCCTAAGAAAGTCTTCTTCGGACTAATACTAATCCTTACGGCGTCTAATCTCTAGAAGACCGCTTCTAGATACTCGAGGTGCTTAGGTAACGTCTACGAAAATACTACGATATCGTCGATATAAGCCCGCGCAAAGCTACGACAGTTACGAAGGATCTAATCTAGCTTCCGCTATACAAATTAGACACTATTCGAGTATCCTATAATAGCGACCTTATACTATTCCTAGCCGCGATAAGTATTAATCGTTAATTTGTAACGATCCTCTAGTTTTACGCCCTATTAGTAGAAGAAGGTTAGATAGTCTATAGTGCTAATATACTAGTACCCTACTAATTATATAAAAAGATCCGCCTAAAGCGGTATCTAATAGCTGTCGGGGATCGTTACCTTATTTAAGGCGCGGATATCGACTACCGCCCGCGGCTTATTAATTATACCGCCTTTACCGTTAGTAACCCGCTTCTAAACTACGAATACCGGGAAGCCGAAGGGGGTAGGCTCGGTCGTATATTGCATTTTCCCTTAGCGGTACAAGTCGTTATATATCTTGTCTACTACCTTACGGTCCCTCTTGCCTAGGTTAATTATACGAGGAGGCGGCAACAGATCTAAGTAGTTCGGTACTATAGGGATAGGTATATAATCGTGCTTAGGAATATCGACTACTATTTAGCGATCTATAAAAAGCTCTAGGTACCGCTCGACCGCTATAGCGATTTAGTCTACCTAGTTATCGTTACTATAGATCGTTACGCCTAACGCGTACTAGTATTCCCGCTATATATTTAGTATATCCCGCGTAGCCGTAAAAGCGTTAGGACTTAATCCCGCTAGTCCGTAGTCGGCTACGTCGATATAGTAGGCCCTAGCAATAGTCCTATTACTTAACGAACCGAGTAGCTATCCGGCTCGAATCGTTACTAGAGTCGTCGTATCGTTACGAATATATATATAAGAAAAATTAGCGTCTACGACCTAATTATACGCCGTTACTAACGGCGGAGCTTGTAACGACAATCCCTATATATTACTAGTTAGCTAGACTAAGAAACCGGCGTTAAGAATAAAATCCCGGCCCTTAGGGAGGTTACCGCCGTACTTAACTAGCGCGAGGGCGACCGTACGCGGCGCTAATATTACGTCCTCCGCTAGCCTTACGAGGCGGTAAACCGACTTCCCTTTCTTACGCTTAACGGCTACTTTAAAGCGGGCGTTGTCCTAACTAGCTATAGTAACCGTCTATATAGGAATATCGATCTTTATTCCCTCTAGAGTAATCGTATCTATACCGACTAGGATTTTTGCCTTTAGTTTAGGAACTAGGTAAACCTTACGAGTTATTCGTACTAAGGAGACTATACCGTCTATCTTCGCTACTAGGACAAATATATCTAATACGACGTATTCCCCGGAGCGATACGCGCCGGTAATGCCGCCGATTTCGATCGGTTCGTATAGCTTACGTACCTCTACGTCCGGGTAATAGCTTAAAACGAAGTCTTTTTCTGCAATAGTAAGCGTATAGCCGGTATCTAGGTAGACCTATATAGATATACCGGATAGTAACAACCGAAGAGGGAAAGTTATATATTGCTAATTCCGGAATGCGTAACTTTACTAAGCTAACGGAGGCGCCTTCGACTAAATTACTTCCGGGTTTGCCGATACGCGTTCGATAATAGTAGAAGGCGTCGTCGCCCCTATATACTCCTTATAAATATACTAGTATAGAAGGTTACCTAACTTAAATCGCCGCTTATAGACCTTGTAAGCGTACTTCGTAGAGGTAAATAGTTAGATCGCCGCTAGTAGGGACGCTTTAGCCTATAGTACCGAGTTTAACGCTAATAGCGAGCGGTCGCCTATACCTGTAAAGTAAGCTCCTAAGCCCGGATTAGAGTCGTATAGGTCGGTAAAGTAGTCGGCGTCTTCTCCGGCGTTACTAAAATAGCTATAATTATCTATATTAGTTCTCCTATTATCCTCCTAACTATCCTCCCGATAGCCGTCGTCGGCTTAGTTAGTATTATTTATAGTATCGCCTGCTTTCTTACTATTATCGGCAAAGTTAGCCTACTTACGAGCTCGATTGTTACGCTTTCTATCCTATCGATTAAATAGGCGCGAATCGACTCGCTTTAGGTCTTTCGAAAGGAAGGTAGGGCTACTACCCTTCGACGGTCCTTTACTATTTCCTGCCGGCGGTAGGCGATTCTACTAAGGGGCGTTAGGTAGGCGATTCTGCTAATAGGCGTTAGTAAGGCGTAGTAGGTTTAGTCGGTCGATATCGCGGTTCTAGTAGTTAGGGGATGCTCTTACTAGAGCGAAGCTCGCTAGAGTATAAGAGGCGTTCCCTTTATATTAGTTCTACTAGATAGCCTTACTAGCGCGGCTATTGTTCCTAGTTATAGCGTCTTAGCGACGATTAGACGAGGACGAAAGCATATACTCCTAGATTAATACCTACTTCTTATAGTACGTAACCTACTTATCGACCTTTATATAACAATTTAGCTCGTCTATGTTTAATTAGAGGCGCGGGTCTATTCGACGGTAAGCTTCTAAGAGCCGGTTCGATTTCCGTACGCCGGTATCCTTAGCGAGTCGTACCGTCTTAATAATAAAGTCCGTTACTAAACGCCTTAAAGCGATATCCTACCGGTCGTAGCGTTACTTATCGAGGAGATCTATCGCCTTTATCGGAGGAACCTTCTATTTCTTACTAAGATAACGTTCCTAGCGCTTTAGACCGTATCCGCCGCGGAGCTTTGCTCGGTTGCGGCTAGAAAGGTAACTATAATACTAACTAAGCGCTACCCCTCGAAAGTAAAAGGAGAGGTTAAGACGAACTATCTCTCGCCCTACGATATAAGTATAATCCTTAGCCGCTTCGATAAAAGCATATACCGAATAGTATATTATCTTGTTTCCGACTAAGGCGTAGTCTCCCTCGCTATAATCTATAACGCTAAGTAGAGGATCGAAGAACCTAAGATACGCTAGATCGAACTATAGCCGCTAGAGGCGGGCGTAGTACCCCTAGATATAACTTGCTTTAGAAACTAGCGATTCCGCGACGTAGTCCCGATAATGCTAATAGTATCTACGACGGCGGGCGTATCTATAATAACTAGTATCTAAGGAGCTATCGTTATCCGACGAGGATTAATTAGAGTCGTCCGAATCCTTACTATCTAATAAGGATCTATTTTTACTCGGATTATCCCTATACCGATAGTACTTCTAGCGTTGCTTCTTACCTTCCCGTAGTAGATCCTATAAGTCTAATAGCGGGAAGGGCAAAGGCTAACCCTACGTCGGCTTACGAGAGGAATTACCCGGATCGAAGTTACTAGGTAGTAGTAGTAGAGGATCGTTAGGAGGATTACTAGGTAGATTGCTAGGAGGATTACTAGGCGGATTGCTAGGCGGATCGCCTAGCGCAAACCCGCCCCGACGTAAGCGGCTATACCTATAGGCATTTATATATACGTCTACCCTCTACTAGTAATTATATTAACCTAGGTTCGGCTAGGGCGGACTTAGCTTACGCGTAGCCGATAGCGGTAAAATCGCCTATTCTATTAGAAAGTCTAATACGACTTCGTTAAGATAGACTCCTCTCTGTCTAGCTAATTCGCGAAGATAATTACGACGCTAACGGTTTTATTATATAGCGATGTTCGCCCTATCGATCTCCTCGGTTGTCTATAAGGTATCTACTAGGGTACGATATTAGAAACGACTACGCGGCTCGTTAGCCTACGGGTCGGCAAGGCTATCGTTTATTAGAGGCAATTAGCCGCGACCGATATCCTAGAATAGCGACGTCGACAGATCGGAAGGCCCGGTTAACGGTTCCTTAGGGGAAGTCTTAGGTAGAGGCCCTCTTAGCTTCTAAGGATTCTCGTCCGCCGGATATCGTAGCTTAAGTAGCCTCTGTAAGAAAACCGATTTAAGCGAGCTATTAGGCGAACCGGGACGCTATTCCGGCGGTACGGTTGTTTCTACTATAGTAATAGGCGAAACCGTAGGGCGCGGTAGAACTTAAGCTAGTCGGGCCGGTAGGCGCTACTCTACTATAGGTAGTAGACAGATCTCCGGGTAGAATTAACGGTAATAGCGTAAATCGCGTACCGTTAGGAGCGCGGCTTTAAGCTCCTTAACCGATTTAGTTAGAATTCCTTTATCTACTACCTACTATCTAGGGAAGTTATAACCGTTAAGAGCGTCTAGGTAGAGTTCCTTAATTTTAGCCTATAGAGGCGGCGGATTTCCTACGAGCGGGTAATAGTATAGAACGTATAAGGCAAGCAAGTCGATTCGGCCGTACTTTGCCCTAAGCTAGGTTGCGAAGTTCTCGCTATAATCGACGTAGTTCTAAATATAGGAACAGATACGTAGGATATAGGGCTCTATATCTAGCAATCCGAGATTATAGTACTAGGGTAGCGATTAAACCGCTAGCTTAGCTAATTTCGAGGCTTCTACTAGAGTTAGAAGCGAGTCCGAAGGAGCTACGGCAAGCGGGTAAACTATTAGTAAGAGGGTAGAGGCGAGATAGTCTCTAAACGGAGGATAATAATAGAGAACCGACTAAAGGCGGAGGAGCGTAGCTTATCGGGGCAGGTCCTCCTAGGGAAAGCGGCTACCCCTAGACCTAGGTATAGTAGGCAATTGCTACTAAAGGTAGAAACTACTACTACTGTCTCCTCGGGGTACTAATAGGATCGCCGATAAGGCGCTCGCGCGTCGGTAGGGTATAGTGCGGAAGGGTAGTAAATCGAATAGGTACCGTCGTAACGGGTAGGAGTTAAATCGTAGTAATCGGCGGAAGATCGGTAGGACCCGTAGCTAATCGCGTCGATTCTCGTCGTAGCCGTAACGACCGGGGTCGATTTAGGTAGAGGACTAGTAGTTAGTATAGAAGCTAACTAAGTATTAAGCGAAGCTACTAAGTTACTAGGCATACGGTTATAGTACGAAGGTATCGTAACGGTTATACGGTATAAAAGTTAGTGCATTCTCTAAGGTGCCGCGAGGCAAGCTGTCTATATAATAGTCCTACTATTAGTAGCAATAGCGACCGTAGCGGTCGATAGTAACCGCTACCTACTATCGTATATACAATAGTATTATATCGTAATAGCTCTTTTCTACTAACCTACTGCTACTCTTGCCTATCTGAATATAATATCTAGCGATACTCCGCTACTAGCCTAGTTTCCTTAATATATAATTTCCGCTACTATAGCGATTCTATAATACTCTCTTACTAGCCTAACTTTCTATAGGATATCTTACTTTGCTACTTGCTCTAATATTAGGACTCCTTCTATATTACTACTTAGCTAGCTCTCGGTATAAGTGTAATAGCAATCTTCTAGTTAGCCGCTATCGTTTTATACTCTAGATCGACTTCTCTCTTACCTCTTTTCGAGCTTACGATAGACTACGCTTATATCCGTCTACGAGATCGGCTATCTAGATCCTATCTATTACCAATATACGCGTTATATATAGTCTACTACAACTTACGGATTAGGATAGCTATCGGAGATCTACTTACTATAACGTTAATTCCTCGGCCTTAGACGCTTCTTCTACTTTTTTAGCTTAATTAGTATTATATACGATATAAAAGGCGATAGCACTTTATCGCCTATTACAGTATATAGTCTCGCTTTCTCGAATGCTTAGTTAGTAGCCTTATAAGAAACTTATAGTTACCTTCCTATATATTCCTTATAATAGTATCTACTACTACCTACTCCTTCTTTATATACGCTATTTCTAAAGCGGTAGCGTAAGAGTATACTATAATACCGAATTAGTATATTCGTACTATCTCGATAAGTTTAAGGTTGTATTTAAGAGCGTTCGCGCTAAGATTACTAAGTATAGGAAAGATAGACGAAGAAAGGAGAAGGGAATAGATTAGGATAGTAGCCGAGGGAGATCTATTAAATAGGACTTTTTATATTAGGATAACTATATATAGAGCGTATAGGAAGAGATAAGCGAGGGACTAACTCTATATAGACGACGGCCGTAACGACGCTAAGTCGAGTATATATCTAGGAATACCTTATCTACGACTACGCTAAGTATAGTAGAATTAATAGGAAGCCTAGCTAGGACTCGAGAGTAAGAGGTAGGGAAAGAAGAGTAAATATAAGCAGAGTTTTATACTTTAATATAGCGTAATAGAAATAGTAGATTCTAATAAGACTCGTATTATTAGGAAAACCTACCTATTCTTAAATTTATTCGAGTTTTTTAATCTAGCGATTTCCTTTCTAGCTAAAAGAGATAGACGAGGTAAAGGTTATTACTATAATACTAGAAACTATTCTAGGTACTATTACGAGGATAAATATTAGCAGTAGCCGAGCTAGTACTTTCTCTAAGTTAAAAATCCGTACTACTTAATACTAGGAAATTAGAGGCCTCTAATTCGAGGTTAAAGGTAGATTCGAGTAGAATAGCGAAACTCTAAGATAATCCTTACTAGTTCTTACTATATATATTTCTTACTATCTTACTTCTATCGACCGTCTTTAGATATACCGAGAGTCTCGCTTTCCTATCTAGCTTTTATAACTTCTTCCTTCTTCTATAGTATACGAGTACTACTAAGATATTAAGGGTCGTACTACAATAGCCGGGATTAGGTAGATAAAGATAAGTCGGCGAGAACGAAGAGCTTAAAGTCTAGCGTAATTAACGAAGTTAGTATATTAAAAGTAGTAGCTACGTTCGATAATAGCTTTATAATACCTCGCTAAGTTTAAATCGCTCGAAGCGGACAGTATCGTTTTATACCTAATACAGCTACTACTCGTATAAGTACTTAGCGATAGAGATATAGGATCGCTCTAGCTACCGGATACTATAATTAAGGTAGGCTAGCGAGTAGGCATACTTGAGCTAGCAAAACATCGTTAGTATAAGTAGCGGCTATAGCTAGCGTGTAGTATAAGCTATATTATGCCGCTTAAGACCAACTAGGCAGCTCTTACTGTCTATCCTTCCTATAAACAAGAACTTAGAGAAGGCGAGACTTCTCGAGAACATGTTCGACTTTCGCGTAAGACTCTCGCAAAGCCATCGAGGTACGGCCGTAGGAACATCGAAGACTCGTTGTTCGACAAAAGGAGCTAACCTTTGCCAGTGCAAGAGGCGTCTTCCAGCTGAAAGGGAGAATCGCTAATCCGCTAGAGAGCCAACAGCTGGCGACATGCCTGCACTCCTCTTCCTGTGCCGGCTTGACACTCAGCCTAGGAGATCGGCGTTCGCGGGACACTAGGTTCGCGAGTGCGATGATTCATGTGCCGAAGACAGGCGCGTAAAGTGAGCAGGAACACCATCGTTCAAGAGTATTGTAATCAATCCGATACAGATCGTGGGTAGCGAACTTCCCTGCTGCCCAAACTGAAGCCGCCAGAAATGATGAACAAAACCATGAACATCTCCGTCCATAGCCAGACGTCCCTAATCACACTCCCAATGCCAAAAGTTACAATTCAGGCCAGGTGGACTCAGCACAAGGCGAGAGTGCCGGCCAAGAAATCACTGAGCATGGCGGAACTGATGTATATGCGCACTGCGAGAGGAGGATGTTTGGGAGATGTGCGTCGCAATATAGCTTGATAGGGCGATATGCTCTCGTTCTTGCATCAGGTGTTCGCTGGTGGGACGCTCCGAAGCAGTTGTGCGGGACGTCTGAGGTTCTGTAGCCTGAACCTGTCGAGGAGCGCGAACATCTGCGTAATGAGGAACACCTTGAGGTTGGGCGGATGGGTACTGGTGTGATGGAAGAGGCTGCTAATCTGTATGGCCGAATAGGCGAAATCGGGCCTCCTGCAATTGTCGCACAAGTTGACACTGCTCCTTTACGAAGTCAATGAACATCTGCGCGTGTTCGCTTTTGGCTACCTCGTAGTCTCGCTGCGCCTGCTCACGTGCGTTTCGCCCTCGGCCCCCCTCGGCCTGAAGATCTTCAATACGACGGGTATTGTCTATATTCCCATTCTGCGCTCGGGCCTGTGCTAGCTGACGCTCCAGGTCCTGCCGCAGCCTCGACTGCTTATGCACGTAGGCAGTAAGCTGTCTGATTTTCAGCTCGTTGGCTGTTCGCTCAGCCTGAAATGCACGTTTCCTGGTTTCTCCTTCTCTACGGACCTCTCGCAGTTGATGTTGCAGGTTCTGCCGCAACCTTGATTGTTGATTTGCGTTGATGGTAAGTTGTCTGACTTGAAGCTCGTTAGCTTCAAGGACAGCCTTGAAAAAGCTCTTCAAGGTTTCGTTTTCTTCCCAAGTCTCCTGTAGTAGATGATCTGAGTGCTGCCGCAGCCTCGATGATCTGTCTAATTCGGCCGTGAGTTGCTCAACTTTGAGCTTGGTGGTTATTTTGGTAGCCTGTAACTCAGCTGCGAGATCGGCCTTCGCTTTCTTGCTGCGATCCACCTCTTGCGCAAGCTGAAAGGCATAGGCTGTTTCGTTGTGCTGGAATGCCCGTAGAGCCGCTACGCATCGATTGTGCGTGTTGCTAAGGTCTTTGATTTGGGCCATATGTAGCTCGCTTGCAGCTACTTTCTCCCAGCGGGCGGTATCAAGGTCACGCTCGAGCCGATATACCTTCGTCTCTATTTCATTTTGCGCAATCCTGAGCGTGATGCTCTCTGCCGAGGACAACTGCACTCTCGCCGTTGGAGAGCAGCATTCGATCCCCAGCTTCGGTATATTGGAGTTGGCGGACGCCACTACAATTTCGTCCGAGGCCGCACTTATACCTGTGTCGGGTTCCTGTTTGACTTCTGCTTCCAATAGAGGCTTTGCTGTAGCATTACGCTTTGTCCGATCTTCTATTGAAGGTACTCTATCGTCCCCGCAGGTCTTTCGTTTCTTCGCCCTAGAACTTCTCTCGCGAGGAGGGGTCAGCACCATGGCTAATGCAGCTAGGCGAAGTGGTTTGGGAGAGGACAACGCTGGTCTGTAGAAGGCAGAGAACAGCCTAAAGCCTCTCATGTAGCAATTCGGGCTAGTTCAAAGGTGTCACAGCCGTGTCGTTTGCGGAGGGCCAGTCTTTATGAGCTCCGAAAAGGCGTATTGTCGCCATTTTCAATCGAGCGTAATTATAACGCACTGGGTATTATTCTTGGCACACCATCTCCAGCACTTCCCGTTGCAAAGTCTCTTCTTATTGAGGAGCAAAGGTCGCATTCGGCGCAGAGCTCCCGGTCTTCGAGCGAGCGTATACGGTAGGGTGTAGCTGATGCGCTTTCCTTGATGAGATATAGAACCCCGTGGAGGGAGCCAGAGTCCATGCTGCAAATCGTATCCGATGCCGATACTAACATAGTTGAGGGTGTATAAGCTGGGTTATCAAATGAAGACAAGTAGATGGCGCTCCCAAACAGAAGCTCGCTGCTCGAACTTCGAAGCTCGCAGTAGATCTAGGCTTAGGTGCGCGCTAAACCCTAACCCATACCGCGGGTACTTGATATGCCGGTCGCTACGGCTTTGCTCGGCTGTCCAAATCTATACCTTATACCGGTAGTACTGCGGATACTTTAAGCGCTTCGAGCTTGAAATCCCCCGAGATGCTTCCGAGAGTTAATTCAAATTCCTAAAAGGGCTCCGGTACTCGCCGGCGAGGAAAAGTACTATAGCGCGAGTCTACGAGCACTTTTTCCGTACCTTACACCGCTAGTACGAGACAGGTTTAGAGTAAGTGCTTGTACTCGCGGGAAGATAGGCTTACTTTTTAATTAGAAAGAATTTCGAACTGCCGGCCTAAATTAGGTATAGATATACGTTAGGCAATTCGTTGCTTTTATAGGTACGAAGATAGACGTCTCTATATTTATAGAATATCGATACTAGCATGCTTAGCGGCAGGCAGATCTAGAATTAAAAGACAAATCTAGTAAAGTTAAAGCGAAAATTATAACCTCTTCGTTTATATATAAATCGTATAGCTACGGTTCTAGACGTTTAGCGCTATAGACTTTATATTATCCCTTATATATAGCCTATCCTTCGTCTTAGGAAAGTATTTTACTAAGAACTACCTAATCCTAGGTATAACGCGTCTCGATAGACTAACTAACTATAATTAAGTAGTCCTAGAGTGTTTATTAGCTTATACCTTAGAGGTAATTAATTAGGTTTTATATAGTAGTAAGTCGCTCGATCCTCTCTATTAACTATAGAAAGACTAGATTAGCCTATTTAGTTAAAGTAGAACTAATCTTAATAACTATAGTATTAAGGCTTAGACTTAGAAAGTCGTATAGCCTTTTAGAAGGCTTTCGGAGCGCTAAACCTATTCTATAGTAGGTAGACTCTTTTCTACTTCTCCTGTTTTTTTCTTATAATATCTATAGAATATTAAACTATTTTTAATCGTCTTAAGAGATCGCTACTTTATCGAGTAGACGCTTAATACCGAGATATAGTATTCTAATATCTATAATACGCGAGGATCTAAATTTAGATAGGCTTAGAGGTAGTCTAGATAATATATTTAGAGCTAAGTCTAGCGAGCCTAGTAAGAATAGAGCTAATCGAGAGAGCGTATTTATATATAGTTCTAGAGAGAGTAGTAATTCTAGCGCTAGTAAAGATACTCTATATAATAGGAGTAGCCCTATTCTAGTATATATAATATTAGTAGGATTATAAGACGCGCGAGCTATAGATTAGATATACGCTTATAGCTATAAGAATAATTCGAAATCGTCTTTATCTTAGAAAGTTATATCCCTATTACGTCTAAGTAGCGAAGTAATAATTCTAAAAGGCCAATTCGTATTAGATAGGCTAGCGATATTATAGTAAGAAAGCAAAGATTAAGAGTAGGTAATTATTATAGAAACAATTTATTATAAAGAAGGGCGTTACGAATGCCTATAACTATATCTATTACTAATAATAAGAATTATAAAGAATCTAGCGTTAGCTAAGATACCTATAGCTATACGTAAAGTAGCGTTATAGAGTCTAACGAATGTCTAATCTTCTTCTCTATCGTTACCGAGATATAAGTAGGCTACTAAACGAATTCTAGTAGGAAGTAAAGTACGAACTTAGTATTTTTACTAGATTTCGAAGATACGAGAATAAAACCGGAATACTATCTACCTAATATTATAGAGTATATTATAGTACGTATATAGCCGTATATTAGTCCTATTTAAGAGTTAGAGGCGTATATCGGTAAGTAATATATATATAATACGCGGCGCGGTTAGTATAGGTATTATAGTATTATAGTTAGTAAACTCTATTCTAGTCTCCCTTTCGCCCTCTATTGTTGCCTTTTCTCTCTCTTCTTACTACCTAAGTATCGGAGTTAGGCAATTTTATAGAGTATAGCTTCTAGGATAGAAAGCTATTTAAGGAGCTTAAGTTACTACTATAGTAAGTTCGCGGCTTAGGTAGTAGAATAGGTTAGTACTTAGTAATATTTTATAAATGTCCGTAGTAGGTAGACTTGTAGCTCGCTCTTCTATAGGAAAACAACAGCCCGGGCTATCGCGCTCGCGCTTTCTACTTCTCTAGCTATTCTTACTAATACTTTCCTCGCTTTTTAGCATATTTATACTAGGAGCTCTAGCTATAGCTATAGAGATATATCGTTAGTACGGAGTAGTGATAGGGTCGCTTAGGGTAGTGTTGTGTATGTGTGTGTATATATATATAAAGCGATTACTATTAACGAAGCGCTCGACTCCTTTCGCTTACTATAGTATACTATATATTATTTACTTCGCTTTATCCTCTACCCTCTATCTTCTACCTTCTACCCTCTACTACCTTAGCTACTAATAGGGATACTCTTTGCGTAGTATATCGCGTAGGTATAGCAGTTTATGTACGGCTGGACGTGTGTCCTAGTATATCTACTAAGATATCTTTAGGAATAAGGAGGTTTAAAACGATTTAGCCTATTTTACGTATCGCTTAGCTTAATCGAACTTATATAGGCGGTACTATAGTACGGTATAGTCTTAGGCTAGGTAACGGTACGGTCGGTAGGCGCTATTAATAGCGCTAGCGCTAGTATAGTTACGAATACGTCTATAGTAGCTACTACGACTTATAATAGATTAGAAGTCGGCGTATACTAAGAATCCGTTTCTACTACTAACCCCTAGTAAAACCGTAATCTACGTAATATTATTACGTCGTATAGGATAGGGATAGTATCTAACCTTACTATCGCTTAAAAAAGCTAAAGAGATAGCGGTATAGACTAAATCTAGGTATTATTAGTTTGTATTATAGTAGATCGATATATAAACTTATTTTCGCTTCTTACTATACCTTACCGTCGCCGGCGCCTTTCGCTTACTTAAGGTAGAAATAGTCTATAGAGGAAAAGTCGTAAAAGATAGTTATATAATTATATTAAAAAAGATAGACTATAAAGGCTATAAAGGTAGATCTATTACTACGCCTATCTATATAAAGGGCGGATTCTCGTATAGATTACGCTATAGAGCGACCTATGCCTCTAGTATCGCTAGTTATATAGTAGCTAGTACAGTACTCTCGATCTCTAAGGCGTCTAGTACTCTTAAGGCAGTAGCTAAGATATCTATTATCTCTACTATTACCTCTTCTATACCTATCTTATAAACCTTACTATAGAACTCCCCTTTTTAGCTATTACCTTACTTTTACCTTTATAGGACTTCTTACGCGATAGACTAGCGATTTAGCTAAGATTAACGTAGTATTAACTTAATAGTACCCTAGTAGGTAGCGGCTACTACGATAGTTATAGAAAGGGAGTATTTAGTAGTAATTAGACCCTATAGTAGTTCGGTTTCCGAACTACTAAACGTATATAGTTTGGTTTCTTAGCGGCGAACTAGCTCCCTAGTTCCGGTTTGGTTTTTTCGAACTATATAGATTCCTAGTTTAAACTAGAGACTGTATTAGTTTTACTATAAGGACACTCTTATTCGACTGCCGGCTACGATTGCCGGCTATAATAGTTACTATATTACATTTACTACGCTCTTTTACCGTTGCTAGGGCGTAGTTGCCGTTACTAGGGCGTAGTTTTACTATAAGGACACTCTTATTCGACTGCCGGCTACGATTGCCGGCTATAATAGTTACTAGGTTATATTTACTACGCTCTATTACTGTTACTAGGGCGTAGTTACCGTTACTAGGGCGTAGTTGCCGTTACTAGGGCACAGTTGCCGTTACCGGAGCGTAGTTACCGTAGTTGCGAAAGCTTACCTATATAACGTTACGTAGGCGGTAACAATTAGGGCTTCGCGATATTCTTATATCTTTTAAATTCTTCCTCTATACCTATACCGATAATAACTACTATACGCTACGCCCCCGCCCCTTTTCCTTATAATAGTAAGAGAGAAGCGCGCCGTACGCTAAATAGAAGATAGAACTAAAGACCGCGAGTTTGTTTTACCTAAGCGTCTAACTAAAAAGCGTAAGACTAAAGAGGAGTACTCTACGAAGAAGAATTCCGTACGAGACCGCGAGAGAAAGGAGAAGATAGATAAGGATAAAAGAGCTAAGGATAAGAGAAGAAAGGCGCGGAATAAGGTATTCTATCGATAGCTAGCGCCTATAGAAAAAAGTAAAGGTCAGAATAAGAAGATAAGCTAAGAGAAGGCTAAGAGGAGGAAAGAATTGCGGCTAGTTTTCGAGCGTAAAGTTCTAGTAGCGTAAGTTAATCTAGCTAGCGGCCGTAGCTAGTAGCCGTAGCCGGTAGCCGTAGTCGGCAGCTATAGCCGGCATATTTTTCTTTAAGACGTTAACTAATAGCATTTAGACCTATAGCCGCTACCTCTATCGATACGACCGATAGTAACGGAGATATTTAGATAGCCGAGAACAATAATACTAGAGTTTAGGATACCGCGATAGAGCTTAATACTAAGAATAAAGGAACTAAAAAAAGCGAGGAGATACTATACGTCGATCTAGTAATAGGTATAGTCTTAGGGCCTAACGCTATAGACGATAAGCGCTAGGAGTAGATCGAGTATAGTTAAAGAGACGAGATACTAGTAAAGGGCTAAGGTATAAGTCCTATTAATCTAGAAAATCATAGTTAAAGCTACTACGAAAAGCTAGTAAGGATTAGAATCGAGACTAGTCGTCTTTATATCCTCGATATAGAGTAGAAGTTTCTTTATTAGTATTAGAGCGAAGCCTTTACGTCTATAAAGGCAAAGTAGCTTACTATTAATGCGATCGCGGCTAGGTATCTAGGGACGGTAGAAGTATTACTAAAGGAGGAAGGGGTATAGGTAAATATTCTATACTCGGTATATATAGCTAGCGTTCGTAGCCGGTAGATACTAATAGTTAAATAGAAAGCGTTTCTCGAGAGTAGAGTACTACTACTATATAAAATC